TGAGTACAATATAATTTTAAATAGCATAAAAAATATAACACTCCTCGCCTCTTCTTTTAAGAACTCATCATCAGTGCATCAGTGTAAGTAAATTGCTGGTCGGCAATCTCCCCGGCTATACCTTGAATGGCCTCCCCTTCCTCCATCCCAATAATGCTCGCGCACCAAGAATACAACTATGAAGAAACGGACCATGAAGAAACACCCACCACCTCTCTCATCTCCAAACCCCCTTCTTTGTCATCTCCCCTCAAGAACCCCAAATCCCTAACACTCTTCTCTCTCATAGTCGTTTCTTCCCTCTCCATCTTCCTCGCTTTCCGCCTTATCTCTCCCTCTTTCTCCCTCTCTTCTGTCAAAGCCCGCTCTCTCTCCAAGCTCCCCCATCCCGTGGTCATCATCCTCTCCTTCGACGGCTTCCGCTTCGGATACAATCTAAAAACCTCTACCCCAAACATCGGCCGTTTGATCGCCGAAGGAACCTCAGCGGACGAAGGTCTCATCCCCGTCTTCCCTACCCTCACCTTCCCCAACCACTATTCCATCGCCACTGGCCTCTTCCCTCCTTACCACGGCATAATCAACAACTACTTCCCCGACCTTGAGAACCCAACCGACTGGTTCTCGGCCAGCAACCACGACCCAAAATGGTGGCTCGGAGAGCCGCTCTGGCAGACCGTTGCCCGCAATGGATTTAATGCGGCCGGCTATTTCTGGGCGGGAACTGAGGTAAAAAAGGGTGCTTGGACCTGTCCTCCCAAATTCTGCCCTAAATATAACTCTTCCACCCCTTTCTTCAAAAGGGTCGATGACATTTTGGAATATTTCAATCTACCCGACAAGGAGATTCCTATCCTTTCAATGGTTTACTTCGAGGATCCGGACAGAGAAGGGCATATCTATGGCCCTGATCACCCAGAAATCACCAAAGCTGTAGCTAACATGGATTCTGTAGTCGGACGATTGATTACTGGGTTAGAAAAAAGAGGAATTTTTGAGGAAGTCACCATTATTCTGCTCGGTGATCATGGAATGGCAGGCATCTGCGATAAGAAATATGTGTTTTTGAACGAATTGGCTCCTTGGATTCAAATTGAGGACAATTGGATCAATTCTGCAGGTACTCTGCTCACCATTCAACCTCCATCAGGAGTTTCTTCTGCTGAAATTGTGCAGAAGATGAATGAGGGACTTAGCTCAGGAAAAGTTGGGAATGGAGATATGCTGAGAGTGTATCTTAAGGAAGATTTGCCGGAGCGGTTTCATTATGCTGAAAGCAACCGGATTCCAGCGATAGTTGGACTTGTAGAAGAAGGGTATACAGTGGAGTCTAAGAGGGAGAAGACGTATGAATGCGGAGGGTCTCATGGTTATGATAACTTGCTGTTCTCCATGAGAACCTTTTTTGTGGCTCATGGGCCGAGGTTTGCAAAGGGGAAGAAGATCCATTCGTTTCAGAATATTGAGGTTTATAATCTTGTAACGGCTATTCTAGGGTTGAAGGGAGCTCCGAATAACGGCTCTATATCTTTTCCGAATTCTGTTCTTCTTAAGAAATAGTGTTGAAGATGGCTACTGGGTTTGAAGGTATTTGACATGTATTTTAGTTTATGTTTGGTATGTCGTACCTTTTGGGCCTTTTTTCTTTCAGTCTTGTTTTAGACATAGTTGCTGTAATTTTATTTAGTTATAATTATATTTCAATTTTTTAGAACATTCTTTAAATGAAAATTAGTATTTATAATCAAATGTGATGGTTATAAAAATTTGCTATATATTTTTCTTTCCAAAAAAAAAAAGGTATTGGTCCGTATGGGAAAATTATATATTTTGTACAATTAGTTTTGAAAAACCATTGTAAGTATTATAAATTTTCTCTGTTGAAAAAGTAGAATTACTTTTCCTATTAGTAATAACTTTATATAGCTACTATATTCTAGCAAATATGATTATAAAAAATTACTTGTTATCACAAAAACTTATAAAAAAAACAAAAAAATGTTGGCTAAACTGAAGTATTAATGTAATTTTGAAAGAAAAACTATAAAAAATTGTCTCAATCGAACTTTATAATACTCATTTTTTAAGTCTATTTAAATTAAGATCAAAATAATGATTAATTTGAATTTAGCAGTAAAGCATCTCATTAATTTTTCATGAAATTTATTATTTAAAGATATTAGATATCTTATTTTATTTTTATGATGAACTAAAATAAATAACTGTTCTTAAAATATAAATAGGATCATGGTCCCTTGTTTAAGGAGCACTTTTTAAAATTGTACAATAAGAGGTACACCTCAGTGCAATTTATGTGAGAAGCACCTCGAGGAACATGCCTCGACCTTTTCATGTGAGGCGTGCGTCTCATTTTGGTTGAAATGAGCCATTAGATTTATGTTCTTCCTACTATCTACAAATGAGTTTATAAGTACACGTGTTGATTAAGTAATAAAGTGAATAGTTTGATCACATGAGGAAAATTATATCATACCAATGCCTTATTAATACCATCTAATTCAAATAACAAAGTTTATCCTGCTAAATTGTGATGAGGGGATGTTCTACACACTATTGTTGTTGCTAAAAAGATAAATTAATCAAAATTAAATATGTTTTAAACCTTGTACACCCTTCTAAGGTTTGTTGTGAATAAGAGCATATACGCCCTTAAATCTCGATTGAGCTTATAAGGGTGTGCAAGGTTCTCACCTTACTATAGTGATTATATTTCCATATACCCCAAAAACCTATTCTTCCTATATCTAGGTATGAAAGTTTTCCATTTCAATCCTCATATTTGTTCTATGATTCCTCTATAGAGATAATGAATCATACTAGGTGTTAATTTCATATTAGGTGTTAAACTTTCACTCCCTTACTATTTTGTACACTTCATAGATGACCATCCCTCATAAATGTGGAAAGAAAATTATTTATACCAACTACAGAAATAGACTCAGAAACAACGAGCTTGAAAGGTTGGTGCCGCAGTGTTACAATAATGAACTAGCGCTTTAGCATTCTATCTTTGTGCTCCACTGCGACATTAGGCTGAATCAACACGATGTTTCATAGTGAATCACTCTAACTTCCACACCACGACACTATAGGCGATTTGGCGCCATGCTGCGGTGTGGAGCAAAGATTGTGTTGCAGCACTTAGGTAGGCAATATGGCGTTGTGGCGCTTCAAATATCGATGTCTTGGCTTTGAATTACTTGCAAAATGACAGAACAGTTAGCACAACAGCGTTTCCAAATGTGGTGCTACTGACATTGTGGCATTGAATTAAATTTACAGAATTCTCAAACTAAGAGCGCCACGGTGTTTCCATAGTTGCGACAGGCATTGATGACGTTGTGGTGTTGTTGGTAGGGGCACCACGATATTAGTTCAAACTTTGATATTTGTGGCTTTTTTGAGTTTTTCCTGTACAACATTAACTTAAATAAATATTTTATAAAATTTATCCAAAAAATATTGACCTAATTTTCACTTAACAAATTCCCTCCTGCTTTAGCTTTGCTTGTCCTCAAGCAACGTGATTACACCTTTGATTAATTCATCATTCCTAACG